TAGTGGTGGTGGTGGTGATGGTGGTGGTGGTGATACTGATGGTGGTGGTGGTGGTGGTGGTGGTGGTGGTGGTGGTGGTGGTGGTGGTGGTGGTGGTGGTGGTGGTGGTGGTGGTGGTGGTGGTGGTGGTGGTGGTGGTGGTGGTGGTGGTGGTGGTGGTGGTGGTGGTGGTGGTGGTGGTGGTGGTGGTGGTGGTGGTGGTGGTGGTGGTGGTGGTGGTGGTGGTGGTGGTGGTGGTGGTGGTGGTGGTGGTGGTGGTGGTGGTGGTGGTGGTGGTGGTGGTGGTGGTGGTGGTGGTGGTGGTGGTGGTGGTGGTGGTGGTGGTGGTGGTGGTGGTGGTGGTGGTGGTGGTGGTGGTGGTGGTGGTGGTGGTGGTGGTGGTGGTGGTGGTGGTGGTGGTGATGGTGGTGGTGGTGGTGGTGGTGATGGTGATGGTGGTGATGGTGCTGTTGATGGTGGGGGTGGTGGTGGTGGTAATGGTGATTGTAACAGCAGTGATGGTGATGGTGGTAGTGGTGTGCTGACCTTAAGAAGGCTTTTAGAACTTTTAAAAAGGTAATGGAAATTTTCTTCAAATGAATTCTTAAGGGGAAATCCAACATAAAACAGGTAAGCAAGAGTTGCTGAAAGGGGGATGGGAGTATAAGACCTGCCTGCACAGTCAGCCATTCTTCCTGCCAGATGTCCACCTTTGTTGTCCCAGAGTTTACCATGGAACCCTCAACAATGGGCCAAGCATAGTTTGAAAGTCTATGGCAGAAGACTGACAAATAGATGGCAAGATATTTTTTTACTTACTTTAGGTCAATGGGAGGTTTAATGTTTCTGGGAGGTAGGCTTGGGACTGGTGGTTGTGGTGGGTGAGATGCTGGCAATGGCGGTTGGCTGGCCGGATGGGATGGTGGAGGTGGTGGCAGGGAAGTTGTTGAATAAGACGTCTGGCCTCTGCTGGTGCCTAAGAAGGAAAGTAAACAATACCATTAATTTAGACAATTCTTCAAAATGAAAGAACTGACCATGCCAAGTATACATAAATGAGGATCTTGAATATGAAAATATAAGAAATGCATCCTAAATTGAATTAATGCTTTAAAAGGTCTAATATTCTAAGTATCAAGGGACGCAGCATTTTACATGCCCCATTTCTTGAAATAGATAAATTCCTTGAGTTTAATTCTCACTATTGAAAAGAATTTCTCTTACATTTTCTATGCTTTTGTAAGCCTTAGTTTTAATATTCCAGATTTTGTGTACAAGCCAAAGAACTTTTAAAACTATATCAACTTGATGATTTTACAAATATAGATTTTTTTTTTATCAGATGTTATATTTTAGACCAAAGAGGTTTAGTTTTCACATCTGCTCTCACAGGTAACTCTTACTTGTTTTCAATGATCTCTTTGAATCTTTAATAAGTTATATCTTGTTTGAGGTATGATTTTCAAACGTTAAACAGATTAAACAATAGGACAAGTAAATCATATGCATTGTAAAAAAATTATAGCATGGAGGTGAACAAAATTAAATAAATATCAATCACCTATAATCCATCACTTAGCCCTAACTACTGAGTTCCTGTATTTTAGAACATTTTGGTGCAAATGTACGCTTTTATGGAAGAGAAGCAAAATGGGACAATTTTACTATTTTGCTACTGGCTTTTTTCCTCTCAATAATCATAAACATTTTTCTGGTTTAATATAATTACAATATGATTTTTAGTAATTGCCCAACTTTTCTTTATAAGGCTATCATGATTTAAAAAAATTAGGGCCCTAATGTTGGATATTTACATTATTTCTTTTCTTTTTGGTGTAATAAAAAATGGCTAAGGCTTTGTACATATCTTTAAGGTTTTTTCTTAGGATAAGTTTTCTTAGGATAAATAAGTAGAAATGCTGGGTCAAACATTTTTTAAGGTGTTTGATACAAAATATCAAATATCTTCCAGAGAAATACCTTCTGATAGCTTCATCAGGTACATGAGATTGCCCATTTTTGTAAGTCTTTGTCAACATTGGCAATATCATGTTTTGAACCTTTGACAATATTATGGAAAAAAAATTCTACCTTTTTGTTTTAAGTTTATTTCATTTTTTAATCGAAATAATACATGCTTAGGAATAAGCAAGTCAGAAAGTGCCAAATAACATACAACAGCAGTAACAGCAACAACAAGTCTTCCCCTCTCGTCACTGGAGATGAAGACTTCCAACACTGCAAATATTTCTTCTACATTTATCTCTATATTTCTATTACTATGTGTGCATGGCTAGTGTTTGAGTCATGATTTTTAAAGAGACTATTCACTTTCTCTTTGATAGATGTAGATATTTGCTCTCTCTCCCTTCCTCTTCCAATACTGCAAAACCATGACTATTTTTGAAGAATTTTGCATTCATTGTTTTCATTATCACAATTAACTAAATATTGTTCTTTGCCAAGTCAAGTAGTAAACAACGATTATATTTATTTTCTCAATCAACTTATGGTTTTCCTAAGTTAATCTTGCCTCATTTGATCATTTACAGTTTTCTTTGAAACTCTTACTTCTCACAATTTCCAATGATTCTGTAACTTACCATCAAAATTTTCTACAAAACTAAACTTAGGTAACTTATCAGTTCCAGGATACTGTCTCTGTCCACTTGTTCTAATCTGACCTGGTTGCTTTAAAGCTCTGCCACACAGCTCTCATTCTTGGACTTCTTGTTGCCAGCAGCATGGCTTTGATATATGCAAGAATGTACTGTGATGAAGAGAGCAAGCTCTGGAGCCACAAAGCCCGGGTTTAAATCCTGGCTCCACCACCTACCTGCTGGGTGACTTGAATAAGACACCTTCCAGTTTCATCTGCAAAATGGAGATAATAATAGTGCCAACTCACAGGGTTGTGGTGAGGACTTAGGATCTACCATATATAAAACACTTAGGACAGTGCCTGGCATTTAGTTAAGTTCAATGTTTTATTTTTCATTCAACAAATATTTATTGAATGTCTATGATATGTCAAGCTTTGTTCTAGGCACTAGAAACACAGCAGTGATAAAACAAAAAAATTCTGCTGTTATGGATTTGGGAAAATAAATAATAACTAAATGAATATAAGTTAAATACATATAAAACTGTGGCAAGAAGTGTTATGAAAAGTGAAAAGACTATATAATTTTGTACTACTGGCATCTCTTTCCAACTCAGTGACCTCACTATGGTAGATTAAACTTGGACATGGTGGAGATATTTACCCCATGGAATTTGGCAAACACTACAAATTTGGGCTTGATTCATTGTTTTGTTGATTATTAGAGTTGAGAAAGTGATAAAGTAAATACTAATAATGCCGATTAAATTTAAAAGTGTGTTGTTTCTGTAGTCATTATATTGTGAATAGCATAAAAATTGAGGAAATATTTTTCCAGTATTTGACAACTGTTATCCAACTCAGCAAAGTAGTCGCTCACATCATTAACAAATTAATGAACGAAGTTCTGATATGTATCTTTATTGTTTCACATTTGCTTACTTGTTAACATAAATGAAAAGATCAATCAACATTCAGGTTGAAGATATACTTATTTGTTAATTGTAGCCGTATTTGGCTACAGATAAAAGAATCCGGCAAAAATCTTTCTCAAAAGAAAGTATATAAATGGCCAACAGCTATATTAAAAAATGCTCAACATCACTAATCATCAGGGAAATGCAAATCAAAACCACAATGAGATACCATCTCACTCCAGTCAGAATGGCTATTCAAAAAAGAAAGAAATGCTGGTGAGGATTTGGAGAAAGAGGGACCCTCGTACACTGTTGGTGGGAATGTAAATTAGTACAGCCATTATGGAAAATACTATGGAAATCTCTTAGAAAACTAAAAGTAGAACTACCATATGATACAGCAATCCCACTACTGGATATTTATCCAAAGAAAAGGCGATCAGTACATTGAAGAAATATTGGCACTGCCATGTTTACTGCAGCACTATTCACAGTAGCCAAGATATGGAATAAAACTAAATGTCCATAAATGGATGAATGGATAAAGAAAATTTAGTATATATACACAGTGGAATACTATTCAGCCTTTAAAAAGAATAAAATCCTGTCATTCATGGCAACGTGAACGAGTTTGGAGGACATTATATTAAGCCAAATAAGCCAGGAACAGAAAGAGAAATACCACATGTTCTCACTCATATGTGGAAGCTAAGAAAGTTGATCAAATATAAGTGGAGAGTAGAATGGTGGTTATCAGAGGCTAGAAAGGGGAGGGGAAATGTGGGGTAGCGAGCAGTGGGTTAACAGACACAAAATTACAGGGAGTTTGGAGGAATAAGATCTTGTGTTCTATAGCACTGTAGGGTGAAATAATTAACAACTTACTGTATACTGTCAATTAGCTAGAAGAGAGGATTTTGCATGTTCCCAATACAAAGAAATGATAAATGTTAGAGGTAGCAGATATGTTAATTAACCTGATTTTGATCATTACAGATTATACACATGTATCAAAATATCACACAGCACCCCATAAATATTTACAATTATTATGTGTCAATTAAAAAAAAAGAAGTTGCCAAGCAATCAAAAAAAAAAAAAAAAAAGAATCAAGAATGGGCTATATGGAATTTTCCACAGAGTATGGTTTATTTTATTATTATTTCTATATTGTGTGCTACTTCTTTTATATCAATAAAATTTGTTACATGTGTGTATACAGGATATATAACCCCCCCCCCCCCCCCCCCCCCCCCCCCCCC